TTTCTGTTTATGAACATGTAACGTGGATGCAACCGCACGGGCGTTTAGAAGAAGCACAACTGAAACCGCCAAGTGGAACACGGAAGTCTGTACATCGGCGTGTAATTGGAAAACGGAGCTGCTGTGTCATCTTCCCCCCTCTCCTCTGATCCCTGCCTACCCAATGGGACTGTTGACCTCTACCGTTCTACCGAGCACCTAAGTAGTAAGCGCTGCATTAACAACCATTAGTGACAGGACGTCGTCCTTCCATCGTGCTCACCCTGAACCCAGTGCTGAAGGTTTCTCTCTGGTACAATTTAATCCTCATACCAATTCCGAGCTATGTACTAGGTATCAGTAGTAGTTAGGTAGTTGTATTACCTAACCTGAGTTAGGTATTAGTACTATACTACTGATATAAATATAACTATATACGGTTATAGAATACAAAACTGATCACAAAGTGCGTAATACATTTGCGCTAGAGCACATGTTCTTAACCACCCTGCTGCACGGTCTTTGCAGGTACCATACGTTCATCACTCCATTTCATCTTCAAAAGAACCTTGAAAGAAGGGTGTTATCCACTCGATGTTTGCAGATGAAGAAATTCAGGATCAGGGAGGTTATCATTTGTCCAAGGCCACTTAAATAGTAAGTAAAAGGGTCAGTGCTGAACTTGACTGCAAAGCCCACGTTCCTCCCTCCGCACGATGCCACTGCAAGCTAAAATGCGGGGTTGGTAATAGAGAAGAGCCCTGCAAGGTTCAGGGCAGCTCATTTTTACGTCGCTTCCAAAAGTGGCTTAGATTACAGAAAGAGATGGTTCCCTAGGCGGGGGGTATTGTGACAAAACTAGAGGTCATGGGTCCCTGAAGGACAGGAGTGTGGAAAGAGATGGCTGAATTTACCAACGCCTTCAGAGAGAATTAAGATTTAGGAAAAGGGGCAACTACTGAGCCACTGCTGGCAGAGCTGACAGGATGTGGCCCTCGTCTGGTTGTGAGGCTGCCCTTTGAGGCAGACACTTCTTTTGCATTTGCAGGGACACTGGCTGGGCCAGGGTGATAGCCCGTGGTCACACGCCAGCAACTAATGGTTCCCTCACGGGCTGTGATTTCAGTCACTTTCCGCCCAAGCCAAGTGAGCTGAAAGACCACAGAAAACAGACCGCTTGTCATGTTCTATTTCTCAGAAATCGGGGATGATAGAAATGGAATAAACTTCCAGCCAAGGAAAAACCCGCCCTTAGGTATACACACACACATGCATGCACACAGGCAGGCCCCCATGCACACACGCACACGCACGTACACACACACATTTGTCGACTTAGCCAAATGTATTTTTGATGAATGATCAGTGGGGCTTTCCAAGAATCTGGCAAAACAACACTTGAAGCACTTTTAGCCCAGCCTTAAGATGCACGAGGGCTCTTAACCTCCTTATGTTACCGTTTTGCCAAAATAATTAACAGAGCAGCAGAAAGGGGTTTTCCTTAGGGGGTTTCTAAAGAGGGGTCTGATCACTTTACCCATCCTTAAATGTGTAGTCCCAAAGATAAATAACAACCTCAAACCTATACCACTGGGGCTTTTCTACATTTAAGACGGAGGGCCTACACGGGGAGGGAAGCCATGACGAATTCAGTGTAATCATTCACTGAGTTCACCTCGTGTTGAGAATGCCCGGAGAAGATACACTTTAAATTTTTAAAATAAAACGTGATGCAACTTTAATCAGCACTCATTAGAACCAATTTTTATGACCTGCTAGCAAAATATTCCAAACACAGTACATTCTGCGATGGGAGCACTGTGTCTCATCACTGATGGGACCCCAGTGCTAGAAAGGTAACTGGCACACCGCTAATGCTCACGAACTAGAATGCACCTGTTCCGCTGAGAGCCCTTCCCGCTGACAACTTTGATGATGGTGGTGATGATGATGGCAGTGCTAGGTACCTGGGAAGCAACGTCCATTAATTTTCCCAACAATGCTACCAAGTAGTTAATACCGTGGCCCTTATTTTTACGGGGGAGGGAGAAGTGAGGGCTCGTGAAGCTCTGTGACATTTTCAGGTCACACCAGAGCCTGCTAAGAAGTGGTAGAGTGTGGATTCAAACCGAGGTCTCCCTGCTTCTGGAGTCTGAATTTTTTTTTAAGGTTATTTATTGATTTTGAGAGAGAGAGAGAGAGAGAGAGAGACAGAGGACATGAGTGGGGAAGGGGCAGAGAGAGAGAAAGAGAGAGATTCCCAAGCAGGCTCCACACTGTCAGCACAGAGGCCGATGTGGGGCTCGAACCCATGAACTGTGAAATCACGACCTGAGCTGAGGTCAAGAGCCAGACCCCTAACCGACTGAGCCACCCAGGAGCCCCTGGAGTCTAATTTTTAATCATGGTTCTAGACTGCCTGTCTGTAGTCAGTGGTTTGAGACAGTAATCTTGAATTCTCGCCTGGAGTCAACATGAAGAGTCTTTAGATTCTTTCAAGATCCTTTTTGGCAAGTGCACGGCGAGAGGAGAGTGTTTTATTTCACTCCACATTCCAGTGGACGTCACACTTTTTGTGACACAGCCCTTAAGAAACTCACCACTGTGACAACAAAATGGTTCTCAAATTTACCCTTTTCTCAAAGTTCCTTTTCTGCCTCCTCCCACCCCAACACGGAGAAACTGGCTACAAAGAGGGAATGAGGTCCCCAGACTAGTTCATAAAAGCCAACTTAACTCAGAATTACAATGGTGTATCTGCAGTGATAAACTAGTAGGGAAACCAGCTGGAAAAGAGTACCATTTAGTAAGATATAATTCATAAAATTAAGTTTTCTGGTCAAGGAAATACAGACTTAATGGAGAAAAAAATTTTTTAAACTACGAAGGAGACAAAGATGCTTTTATAAAGGCTTTTAGACACAGGTGACACTGGCCCTTTAATTCCAATTTCTCTTTGAAACCTGGCTTTCCTGTGCTTTGTACCTTAGATACAGGTGATAGTACCAGGCGCTATCATATTTAACACCATCGTTCGATTGATCCTGTGCACAATTGAGAACAAAAGATGGAGGGAGATAACAGGGCAAGAGGAGTGGAAGGGCACCTGGGTGGCTCAGTTGGTTAAGCGTCCTGAGTTTGGCTCAGGTCACGATCTCACAGTTTGTGAGTTTGAGCCTCATACTGGGCTCTGTGCTGACTGCATGGAGCCTGCTTAGGATTCCATCTCCCTCTCTCTCTCTCTCTCTCTGCCCCTCCCCTGTGCTCTCTCTTTCTCTCTCAAAAATGAATAAATTAACATTTTTAAAAAAAGGGAAAGAGGCGGGAGAGTTGGTGAGGGTTGGTTTGGGCTGGGGTGGCCAAGGGAAATGAGACAGGGCAGCCATGGAGACATGTGAAGTGTGATAGAGATGATAAATGAAGTCCGTGAGATCCACGGAGGCAAGCAGGCCAGGAGGGAAGCCCCGGATGTGCACCTCTTGAGGAAGAAGCGCAGCTGAAGGAAAACCAGCGAGGAGTGTACATGTGTGTGCACGGCAGTGCCTGAGTGTCTAGGTATTCTTTTTTATTTTTTATTTTTTTAGTTTTTTAACATTTGCTTATTATTGAGAGACAGAGAGAGACAGAACATGAGCATGGGAGGGGCAGAGAGAGGGGGAGACACAGGATCCGAAGCAGGCTCCAGGCTCTGAGCTGTCAGCACAGAGCCTGACGCGGGGCACGAACTCACAAACCTCGAGATCGTGACCTGAGCCGAAGTCGGACGCTCAACAGTGCGTCTAGACGGCGATTAACAGCCAGGACAAAAGTAATGAGGCACTTAGATAGCAAAGAACAAGGGCACCAAACTGGAAAGGAAGCTTTCTGGAAGACGTGATGTGAAAGCTTTGCACGAGAGGCAGCTAGAAGAAAAGCCTTCAGGGAGGGGGACCAGCCAGAGCCAAGGGCCTGGAGAGAAAAAGAGCCTGGCATAGTCTGTAAGAATTGGGCAGACAGCCAGCGCACCTGTGGCTCTGTGGTTAGGAGGGAGACGTGTCATGAGTGAGAAGAGGTAAGGCAGGCCCCGCGAGTGACCTTGAAGGTCAAGCTGAAGGGTTAGAACTTAACTCTCAGTGCAGGGGGAAGCCACTGGGGGCTTTTAAGGGAGGGAGCACCGGGGCCACCATAAAGATGGCTGCAGCTGTTGAGAAGAGAATGGGTTGGAGGTCAGAGAGGGGCTGTTCTCACCATGGCCGCACGTGCCCCTCTGTCCCTTATTAGAGGCACCGCACAGACCGGCATGGCGAACAAGACTGTTGCTTGCCATGAGGCATGATTTCGCCGTGAGGACCCTCGGTGTAAGTCATGTGGTTTTGAGCCGTTGGGATTTCACAAAGCAGGAGACAACAAAAGTGGGCGCTCATAGTCTACTGCAAGTTTCTATGTGACTAGGGCAAGTAAAACCTCAGCTACCATCTGTGATCACCTTCATTTCATAAAAGAGGAGATATTTTGAAACCAAAGATAGGACATAATCTCAGAGGGGAAAACCCCATTTTATAGAGAATACACTACACTTTCCATGTATTTTCAACATTTTTGCTTTAGAACCCGTGAAAACCTCCTTATCGACCAGGTACACAGCCACACATCAGTGTTCCGTACGTCGATATTCAGGAACCACTGAGCTCACGCCTCTACCCACTTCACAAGTGAGGAACCTGAGGTCCAGGAGGCAAGTGGCCTTCTCAGGGTAAAGGGGGTAGTTAAGGGCAGAGGGCCAAGGCTTCAGCCTCCTGACTACACGTTCATTCTTGTCCCGTTACGTCATCGTGCCGCATATTTATTCTGCTTATTTATTCTGCTTTGCCAACATTCAGATACTGTACCATCTATTCCGGTCCAATGTGTAGTGCACCGGCCACTTTTACTTCCCTGCCAGGATTTCCAAGAACTAAGTACGTATCAGGAAACAAGCACTCAGCAATCCAGCTCTAATGGAATCCTTCTCTTCATAAAGAAGAAAGTGTGGTGCGTCTCACCTGATCTTCAGATACGCTGCAACTCCGAACACCAACAATACCACGGCAATGACAGTCACCGTAATGGCGGCGATGCTGCCTGTGGAGGAGGAGAGGCACAGAGAGAGATGAAGGAAGGCATTCGTTTCAGATCAGTCTGCACAGAAGTCAGAGCTAGCATGAAACCCAGGATCTTAATTCTGTCACCAAAATGCTTCTCATTCTAGGAGAGATTTGTTAAATGACCAACACTATTAAGACCTTTTGGCTGGTCTGGAGTTCCGGAAACAAGTCAACAGTAACATTTTTTGCTTTAAGGATGACACAACCTGTTGCTGTTGCTATTGGTTTTTGCGGGGATTTTCGGGGACTCTTGTCTCAAATCTCCTGACACCCTGTTTCCTTCTTCTATAGGCTCGGGCTCCTCTTTCTATCCCTTGTGAAATCTTGGGAGGCTTAGGGTGTTCTATTCAAGGGTCACTACAAAGTAATGTGGTTGGTTTTTAAATAAGCCAGACCCACACAGCCGGATCAGTAGTGTCTGCCTCAAAAGGATCACCTTGGTGGGAGAAGCGCTCATTTTAACGATGCCATCAGATCATGTTTTAAAACTCCTTCTTGGAAAGTGTGTCAAACTTTCATCCTTGAAAGGTGAATTCGGTTTTGTGGAGAGTAAAGTCAAGTTTGGTGTAAAAATAAGGTCAAGTCTGATAGGTAACACCACTTTCTGTGTATAGAAATAACCAGATGTAATTATAAAGTAACATGAACGTTTCATTGTGTAGTTTGAAATCTGGCTCCAAAGGCAACTATTAATGAGCAGCTAAAAAACCCTTTGAGCATGTAGCCTTATGAGAATAGCCACACTGCTTCCAAGTATTACAACTTTGCAGCACAATGCTCTCTTTGTGTGAGCTTTGGATTGTGATGTATATACTTCAGTTTTGTTTCACCTGGGAAATGCCAAGAATCAATTGGGCTCTTGTCCCCTAATAATTAAAGTGACTTTTTTTCGATGCTAAAGCTGGTGTTAGGGACCCCATCAGTGCACTGAGAAACTATTTACCACTGCAACCAACGCATGGGGCCCTTCGTCACACTGGAAAGAGCATCAGGGATCGGGAGTCCGAATATGTAGATCCAAGTGTGGCCCCATCGCGGTTAGCTGCGTATGTAGCACGGGTTATTTAGGTAACACCGACTTGGCATGCCCATCACCTGCAGCAACCGAGAGAGAAGAGCTGCTCCACCCCCCACACAACTTGAGGAGGGATTAAATGAGGAGCCATGCGCGCCAAGCCCAAGTCTTATCCAAAGCGTACCGTCCTGCACTGGTGCCCGTCTGTCGTGTACTGGACCTCAAAGGTGATGGATCTGCCCCACGCTTTTGGAGGTTTACCGTTTGTAGGTTATTTTGCCATTTCTCCTTTTATTCCTTTCTCTCTCTTATGAATGCCTTTTGTATATTGTTCTTATTAGACCTTTCCACCAAAGGAATTAGAGCAGAGCTAAGAAGCAAATCAGTCTACTTACTTATTAACTCTTTATTAACTCCCCAAAAGCTCTGGGTGAAAGAAGGCTACATCAAACATCCACGCGCTGCTGGTTATGTCTCTCAAAGGGAGCCAAGGAGGTCCGCTGCTAACCCTGAGGCTAAGACCAGAGCTTGACGTGTCTACACAGACTGACCACATTCCACCGTTTCAGAGTTGCCACACGTGTGGACGCTCACATGCCTACCTCCTTGCTCCTGGAATCCTTCAGAACCAGCTTAGTACAATTATCAGGGTAATCCTTTTCTCCTTGTTACTACTGTAAAGATAGAACTGTGGCACGGAATGGTCCAATGTACAGATCGGATCGAGTAGAGAGAGTTCAAGGTCAGATCCCCTGATGGAAAACTTCCACTCCTCCTCTGAAAGGCTGCACTTGGCTTTGCGGCCTCCAAACTGTGCTGAAATTAGAACAATTCAAAGTTCACGGAAGCCTCTTAACAGCTCTTTTAAAAGAGCTTGTGAAATGAGGATTATGACTGCAACGTAAGGTGCTGGGGGCCTTTCAAGACTCACAGAGATACAGTGGTTGCAATTAGGAGCAGCTGAAACGCTGACCTTTAAATTTAATTTGCCCCTTTCAAAAAAATGGGAAAAGAGACAAAATAGAGTTGATTTCTCTCTGAGACGACTCTTTCTTGCTCCCGCAGAGTTTAATGCAGGAAACTGTGGGTTTGACCTTTTTCAGAGTTTCTTTCCTAACCCTAGGCAGTTGGATCTCCTCCAAATCCATGATTTACTGGATATATTTATGTATCGCCTCTCTCCAGAGATAAATCAGGCAGTTCCCCAAGTCAAGTGCCGTTCTCAAAAAAATGGCAAGCGATAGAGTGACCCGCTGCCCCTCTAAGTGGCTGCTGGACGTCTAGCTCTCGAAGCCCCGATCCTCAAATGGGGCTCTCAAGGTCATCCTACCTTGTTCACAAGAGGGCAGCCCCTGCGACCAGAGCTGGGATTAGCAGGTGATTTTTCCCCCTGCTGGGCTCTTGAGGGCAGCTGGGCAAAGGGGCCCTTCTGAGGGTTGGTCCTGCTCCACATGAGGTAGAATAGGTCGTACTTCAATATCAGGACCACTTATGAACTATTCTGCCACCCGCTGGCTCTCCTCACAGGGTGCCAACCAAGGGAGCAAGGGTCCTCTGAAAGTCGATCTCTATCAGGCCCCGAGCCTAGGAGGTCTTGTGTGGCAAGCCTGCTCTGCCCCCCACAGCAGCTACCTTCTGAAGCAGCGAAGCAGCGGGGAACCTCATCCTGGGAAGTTCCGCACCTCGGGGCATCATGGTTCCAGCATAATGGGTTGCTGAGCCAACATTAGCACAACTTTTATGGTAACTGAAAAGGCTTGATTTCCTCCTGGTGAAAACAAATGTCACTTCCCCCAGAGTTCTGTTTAAACCAAACTGGAATTTCCCTTCTCCTCCTACTTAGTCTTTTTTCAAGGAGGGGCAGGGAGAGAGAAAAGGAGGAATGTGTGGCTGGCCAGGGAAGGCTTTGCCCATTGAGGAAGGTATGGGCACTTGTGGGCAGGGTGCTGTGAGTGGGGGATGGGGAGGAGGCTGGCATTTCACTTCCTCCTTACTGGGGTTTGCCAGTTACCGACTGGGTGTGACTCATGCTGTAAAGCCCTGGAGCCAGAAGGAATTAGAGAGAATTGGAGGAAACTTATCTGTATATTTTACAAGCTGAGACGCAAGAATATTCCACTGTGCTAGCACATTCCACTGTGCCAACATGTTCGGCCTGACCAGAGGGTTGCTGAAGATCCACGCAAAGCCTCCTTGAAAACTGGGCCTCTCTGGAGGCTGGGATTTCTCAGGGTGCCATTTTGCCACTTTCATAACAACTCAGAACAAAAATAAACAAGCTAAAGGACAACCATAGTTGTCTCTGCACGCAGGTTACTTTGGGCCAGTACGTGCCCAGAGCCTTACAGCCATCAGGTCTCTTAAGTCTCTTTAGGAGACGAGTGGAATTATCCCCACTTTATGGATGAGAAAGTTAGGGCTCAGGGAAATGAAGAGCTTGGTTCAGATCTTACAGTTTGATAAATGGTTACGCTAACATCTGAACCCGGACTATTTCATCGCATGCTTTGTATTTGTAATCACTAATATACACGTTACGTCCACTGGCCCTTCTCTTAGCTTGGCCAGCTCCTTCCCTTTCCTCATGACCTAACTAAATATCAACCCTTCCGAGCGGCTTTCTTGACACCCCCACACGAATTACCACGTTACTGTGGGTTCTCAACTCTTCGTGTCCGCTTCTTTCAAATGCTGTGTGTTGCATTTATAAGCTTCGCCAGGCAGGTTCTAACCATATTCATCTCTTCCAGTTCTTCCTGCCCTCTCAACCCCAGATGCAGTCTCTAGTCCATAGTGGGTACTTGACTCATTTATTTAATGCTGAATGACGAAATGTAATGTTGGCAAAAAAAGAGAGAGAGAGAACTGGCAGTTTTGGAGCCCCATCACTGTGCTGAGAAAGTTCCCAAGCAGCAGGTTTTCTGTCTACCCATCTTGGAATCCCCTGCCCCAGGTCTTACCTGATTATCTACATGAATGACTCTATAGCCATGGTCCAACCCCTGCATCATGAGCTTGTGAGTGCCCATGGAGGACGGAGCTGGAGGAGCTATTTGGGGAACAGCCATCCAAACAGAGTCAGATGACATCCTTGAAGTAGGCAGAGCAAGCTCCCAGAAGGCTATGCTCCTGGTCAGACCTGGCACTCCAGGAGGCAGGCTGTTCCGGAGGTCATCACTTGCCCTGCTTTGAGTCTGTTCTGTGCCCTGTGCTGTCCTGGAATAAACTATGGCATCATTTTAAGGGGTCTTTCTCCTCACACCTGGTACTCACGCAACAGGCATGTCCCTTTCTTGATCACACTCCTACTAGTCCTTCACGGACATAGAAGTCTTCATACTCTGAAGGGACTCCGCTCCTATCCCAACTAACCCCTTGACCTAAAGAAGCCCACCTGTCTTAAATGTTCCTCTGGGGACTTTTCTTGTTTAAGGATTTTCTCTTTTCCCCACTTTAAACGTGGAAGAAATGTTTCATATGAAATATTCAGCAGGATACTTGTCAATCCTATGGAGGATTGGGAATATTAGGATATGGCAGGGCAAACCCGAACAACCTCTCGAAGAGCCTTCCCAGGCTCTTTAAAGGAGCTGCCATCGCTCTGAGAGCGCAGGAGGTGACAACGGGCAGCTCCTGGGTGACGAAGGTGAGCTGTCCGCAGGCGACTCCTGAACAATGTTTTCCTTGGAAATGCAACAACCGGCTTATTTAGACTGCACTCGTAAGTATTTTGACCAACTTCCTGGGTATGTGTGTGCACGTCTGATCTATTTTGAGAAGTCTGTAACAGACCTTTGGCTGTTTTTAAATATTCTTGCTCTTTTCTTTCCTTTTCCTGGTCCAGAGGGTAGGTAAGACATGGAGAAGAGGAGCAGGTGACCACTTCAGAGTGTGGCGGCCTCTCCAGCCAGGGTCACCAGAGGAAAGGAACATCTTTTCTCAAAGGAATTCTTCCTCTATAA